TATACTATGGTGGTTGTATGTTACAGTTTGTTGCAAAACATGGTTTATTTGAGTAGTTCAGCAAATGTGTATCTGTTTGCTACCCGTTTGATTTTCAATTAACCTTATGACTTTTGTGTCATGATTTTTCAGTAAATATTTCTGACCAGTAAAGCTTGGTGGCGTTCTAGTTTAAACATTCATATTCTCCACGGTAGATTATTTGGCAAACATCCTTTAGGAGTGGAAGTTACAAAATCATGTGAGCCAAGTCAAGCTACATCCATATGTAAATTTCAATCTCCGTGGATTCTGATTGACATTTAATTTTGTGACTATGATACAATTTGAACAAGAGAATCCATTTTTATCCAAAGTCCATTTGAAACAGTGAAATTTTTTTTACAAATGTTCTCAACTGTATAGGTAGTATAGTTATTCACGTGATTTAAATAACTTAGCCATGTATGTAAGGTACAAGTCCCAGATAAGATATGAATGGAAATTTAGATTTGTATTCTAAAAAGGTCTGAATAGTTGTTATCTAACATGTAATTTGTTAACTAGGTAAGCTATATTTAAGCTAGATGTAATTTGATATCAGTTACTGTAATACACTTAATTTGGTAATGGTGTATGCTACATCTAATTTGGTAAATAGTTAAGCTAAAATGTAATTAGGCACCAGAGTAAGTTGCATATACTTTGGTAATATTTGACATACATGTAGTCTTTAAACACACTGTAGTTGTTTGGTTTTGATGTAGATTGTATCTATGCTATAATTCCTAAATTACTTGCTGTATACTGTGAAATAATTTATTTTCACTGGAATTAATTTTCGCTGAAAATACTTTTTGGGTATTTTGTATGGAATTTATTTTTACTGATTTTTGGTGAGTTGAATGTAAAATACATGTATAGGAAAAAAGGTAATTTCGCTGGATTTTATTTTTTACTGAATGACTCCTTCAGCGAAAATAGCGAAAATCAATTCTAAACGAAAATAATGTGTTTTACAGTATCAAGTAACAATCCAAGTGAAGCAGTTGTTTTTCTAAAACACTTGTATACACAGCTATAATAGGGTTAATAGTGTTTTCACACAATCATCACACGCACAAAAGAAACACTAGCTTACAGCTTTCTATCAGTACTGTGTAAAACTGAATCTGTTCATGAAAGTCATTATACATGTACTTGTGTCTACATGTATCGGGGTAGTTATAAAATTCTTACATCTTTGAAAATGCCATTCTTATCTTTTGCCAAACAACTGTTCAGACTGACATTTGATGCTTGTATATTGATATCTGCAAAAAGTTTTTTAATAGATAATGAAAAAAAAAGATCATTATCTTGTAATGTTTGAATTCTATACTCATCATTTGTTTTAAAATATCAAACATGACAGGTCACTTGTCATCGGTAAGTGGTATTTCCTGACAACCCCTGTGCTATCATGTTTGGGTTGGTATGGACAAAACACTTCTTAAGATTCTCCACAATTGTAATCCTCTACCCTTTCACGTATACAATGTACAGAAAGTTATGTCTACGCATTCGGAAAGGTTTCAATTACTATGAAGAAATTATATAATATTAGTATCCATGGAAACAGATTACATTTCATACTAAAAATAATTTCTAAATAAGCCACAACAATAGACTGCCATAGTATCTATGGTAAAACTCGGTTGTATTATTGAATATAAATAAAATAAATATTGTTGTGACTACAGATATTCATTTTAGTTTGAGGCTTCAACCAGTTTGGGGCTACTCCAAAATTACTACTGTATAAATTTTGTAGCAGTTGAGCAGTCATAGTCACAGAAAATATGGAAACAATTTTGAGTGATAACAATTTACCAGTTTACATTATCGCATACAATGGTAGCTCTCTATGCTTAAAATGAAGTACTTATTTTCATATTTTTTCAATTGTCATTTTATTGCCGTCACTTGTATTTTTTCAAAATTAGGAAATTAGATGCAATTACTAATAGACTGTCAAATGTAAATGCTATCATCTTATCATTGTTATAACCAGGGCTTTCACCGATGACAGTGTCCTGTATTATGCTAGGTCTTATATCAGCAGTGAATGCTAGTACCAGTATATCTAGGGTGACCGTTGACCCTTTAGCAGATATCACTGTTGGGTCATTCCATCAAGGTGACATTCACTAAGGGTTATCTTCACTATTGTCAGAACAGTTTTCCACGGAAACCTTATTTTATTTTCACCACATAATTTATCCAGACATGTACCTCGGCCTGTTTAAATGAAATATTGCCACCTAATGTTATTTGCACTGAATTTATAATAGATGAATTATATACTATTAAATATATCAGTGTTGCCATAGCGATATCTGTGAATATGCGAATACATTTTATATCTATCAAGGTTCTAGATTTGATTTTACCAACACAAGCCATTGACTTTCCCTTGCAGCGTTTACCAACAAAATATAACATACTGATTAGACAGTGCCTTATACTTTACAGCTGACTTTCATTGTCTTTTGTTGAACATGAGTGACATGATACTGCCGGTCGGGCATGTTAGCAAATTGAAATTGAAATCGAACATTGTTTCATATAACATGCCTTTATCAGAGACCACTGCCTTATGAAACGAACACATACCAAGTTTGCACAAACAAGGGCTCAATCACCTAATGTATATAGTTTAAGCACACTCTATTTTGTTGCTTGACACTACAAGAGAAAGTCAAGGACTGGCTGGCATCCATTGTATCTGGTGTTTTGAAAGGTGCTGTACACTATATAATACCGGTACTAATTACTTAATTAAAGTAGAGCTGCTGGTCTGTCGATATGACATGATTCTTCCTAAATGTCCCTCTAATCCAAATACTTTAAAATACTTTATTTTAGCAGGATTTATTTTTTGCTGAAAAAGGCTTTTTTGGTTGTTTTGCGTACAATTTATTTTCACAGATTTTGCTTCCCTGACTCCAATTATTGAAGAATAACCTAGTTTTTCAGGCAAGCTGGGGTCCAATCTCTAATAAGGTTATCCAGGATAAAATTTCTTAAAATTTTGTAAGTGGGACTCGTCTTGCCGAGACACGAGCACAAACCCTGAAGTATTTTACAGTAAATGTCATTGCCATTCATACAAATGACACCAATCTGTCACTCTTAATACCATATACAACATTGTATTCTGGGCTACCTGGTATTTATTCGCTGACATGACCTATGACCTTCATATGAGCAAGCATACATAATATTCAGGGCATCATTTTAACCATAACGACATGTACATGTTAATTTAGCGCTATGATGGATAGAGTTAGGTCTTGTCTCTGTTTTCAATAAATCATAGGGCAACAAATTTGAACTGTACACCTTTCTCATAACCCATCTACACAAATTGATAAAAATAGGATAATATATTTATTTTTATATTATTTTATGTTGGATGATAATTTTTTCCA